AGAGAGAGAGAGAGAGAGAGAGAGAGAGAGAGAGGGAGACAGTTTGCATCCCCTCCTGCCTGACCACAGAGGATAAGGTTTAGCTCCAGTCTTGCAGCTGCTAGTCTGGGGGACAGGACATACCATGGCTATATAGTGGGTGGCCATGAGCAGAGAGAGGAATTTCTTTCAACTTGTAGGATCTGGGAGGGTTTATGGAGAGAGGGGCCTGGCACACAGGAAGCACTTGGGGCAGGAGTATGGCTGTGAAAGAAGGTTTGACTTGGAGCACAAGACAAAACGGAAGAAAGCAGCCCAGGGTATGTGAGGGCCTCAGACAATTCCTGCCCTGCATGCAGGGGTGAGGTCTCGCTTTTAACTACAAGGGAAGCAGGAGGAGATGAGGCCCAAGGTCAGCAAGACTGTGATGCCGGCCGCAATCCCCTTCCGTGACCAGTGCACAGAAGAAGGGCCACTCCTTGGGTGAAAAGGCAGCCTTCTTCCTTTCTCAAGAGTGCAGGGCATGGGCTGGGGATGTAGCTAAGTGGCCCCTTGCCTGCCTGGCAAGTGCAAGAGGTCCTGAGTTCAATCCCTGGTTGGTGTGGGGGGTGGTACAGGGCAGGTCCGGAAGTTGGGGATTTGGGCGGGCACCTAAAATCTAAGCACTGTAGCTCTGGTCATTTGGGTCAAACTGAACTATAGGGATCTTTTTCATTAAACTTTTGAAATTTGTATCCAAAGCATGTGCAGTAATGCCCATTGCAGTGTGATGAAAAACACACAGAAAAACATCTACCCCACCCCAGAGTCTTCTCCCACTTCGTGGGCAGTACTCCCTCCAGGCAGTTGCTGGGCAGGCAACAGTCCACTGTGGCCTGCTTACTAGAAACAGAGCTAGGGAGAGGGGCTGAGGTCCGGAAATGGGATATATTCATGTTATTCATCAACTGGGTCTTCCCACTTTTATCAGTATTTCCCTAGACAACCCACAGATAGACCTGTCTAAAAGTTGTGTTACAGTCCAAATTTAATCTGTGTTCACTTTCCCCGTGCACAGCTTCCTGGCTTTTGCAACTGCAGACAGTTCTGCTATAAACACTTTTGTGGGTCTGCCCTTAGGATCTTGAATTTTCAAGTACATTTTAATGTTGCCATACTCATTTCCAAAGGGTTGAGTGATTCACATTTCTGCCCACAAGGATAGGTGCCTGTTCCCTGGGAGGGCTATGTGAGAACCACTTTTTGACCGGGTGCCTTCTTTTTATTTCATTCATTTATTTATTATTTTTGAGACAAGGTCTCACTGTGTAGTTGAGGCTGACCTGGAGCCTAGGCTGTTGACCAGGTGCCTTCTTTTTAATTTGCGGTTCCCAAACCACTATGCAATTGTGAAGTGTTTCACGTGGTTGAGTTCCTTCCATTGCTAACACTTGGTTCATTTCCTTAGTAGAGGTTCCCAACTCCATCCAGCCCAGGGCTCCGTGTCTATTTAGAAGCTGACCAGTCCTCAGGTGAACACCGGAGGAGGTTCTGCTGACTCCCTTTCTACCTCTAGGGGAACCTGTAGCACAGGAAGCTCCCTCTCCCACCCCAGTGACCCACTAAGGGAAGTGTGGAGGGGGGCTCTAAGCCCAGCCTTGGGCAGCAAATGGAACAGTCCTCAGTGCCTAGTGCTGACCACTGCTGCTGTGCCTGCACCACAGTGGGTGGCCTCAGTGTGTGAAGGGCGGTGCACTAAGGTCACCATTCAGCAAAATCCAGAATCAGACCTCTGTCCCTTTAAGTCCAGATCTGTCTGGGAGCACCCAGAAGCAGGGAAGAGGAGGGCCCAGCCCAGATTCCAGGGGAACAAAGGATCCCCTTAGGCTCCATGCTGAGGTCTTTCTTCCTCCCTAGCTAGCCCTTCCACCTGATCTCCAGTGGCCTGGAGCTTGCTGGGTCAGCTCTTGCTGCCAAGTACAAATGGGGCTGAGGGTGATTTAA